GTATACAGGGTGGTCCTTGTAAAAATTCACATTATTCTCAAATAATTTAGATTTTTTTGCACTCCCGAGGATCTTGGATAAATCTTTGGGTAATAAAATTCGGTGTGATTAGAAAATCCAAAATCGACTTTTATCGCGGAAAAAAAATGTTATAATTCCGTCGAGTCACGTGAATTAATTGTCTTACAATGAGATCGCATGTATGCAAATGAAACCGAATCGCCGCTCAAGCTCGCCTACGTGAAACCTATGCGTTAATTCGCCCGGAGAATTTGAATAATTTCCCATGATTATCGATAATTATCAATCGTTTCGGTCAATAAAATTGTTAGATTTTTCGCGAAACTCTCCAGAACAATTCGAAAATGTGAATGGGATTTACATTGCAAGATTTTATACAAAGAACAAATATCAAGCATCCAATAAATTTGTTCTAAATTATTTTGGACAGTTTTAAAATCGTCCTGAACGGTCCCAATAATTTCTAAATTGGTTCTAATCGATTCTGGACAGTTCTAACATGATTTTAAACAATTCCAAAACAGCCCTCAACAAACTCAAGTTAAATTCACCATCTCATTCCCTCCATTACAATGCTCATATGCACCCTCTTTCTCGCACTCGCATTATTCCCATATTCGATCAATCGGCAATCATACACCTGTTCTCTTCAATTTTCGGCGATTTTCTTGCGACGGAAAACATCGTAATAAATCAGCGAAAGATCGATGGAGACATTGGAAAAGTCGCCGGAGTACAGAAAAATCGACGATCCATCATTACCCAGGTACACAATAACTTATGCAATGCGATTGAAATGCTACTGAATGATATTAATGGTCGATTTGCGTGCAGCAGCCCCTTTAAAGCATCCCTCTTAACCAGGGTCGGATTTTACTTTTTTTTTTCACATTTATACACTTTTATATGCACTAATTAATTTTATTATAATTTTTTTTGAATTCTCGACTAAGCGCCCGCACTATAAAATTACTAAAACCATCGAACATATGTTTTTATGCTTTCCAGGTTTACGTATGTGTACAATGTTCGTAAAAAGATTGGCAGGAACTCGAAATTGCTATATAATTTTATTTAAATTACAAGCACCGTAATGATAGTTATACGAATGATTCTAAAAAGTCCGCGGGTGAATTAAATTGAAGGGGTTACGAAAAAAAAATGTATATAATGCGGTTGATGCATTATGTAAACCGTTTTGAAACAAAACAATACCATTTACGATTCGAATTACACGATGTATCTATTAATGGGTATTTATTGTAAATTTAATTCGATTTGTTTTAATTCGCTATGTTTTACAATTCGGCTTTAAAATACTTTCCAAAATCGACTGCACTTGGTTTCAAATCAGTTAACTTTAATTTCACCATTTACCCTTAATATTTTAAGTTTTAAGGGCCAATGGTAAAATTATAGTGATTTTTCGAATGAAGAGTGGACAAATTTTAACGTTTAAAATTAAGGGTCAATGGTGAACTTAGAGATAAGCGGTGAATCCAAATTCAACTTATAATTTACAAATATTTAGTAACTTTTTATATTTATTTTATACAGTTATACAGAACTACACGAATAATAATCGCAACATTTCTATCGTAAAATCGCATTAAGGTAGAAAATTTTATTGCCCGGTGAACTCCCACCGTACCATTAATCAACGAAATACGTCATAAAAAGATCCAATAAAAAAAGTTACGACAATATAAATAATCTGTCTGGCCTCATAAATTACGCGGGGCAACTTCGCCGGTAATCAACGGTATATAGGGGGATGTTTTGGGGGAACATATCGAACCTTGATTCACCCCTGTACATACGCAAAACAACCCTACTTCCGTTCTGTTTAAAACACAAGTAAAAATCCACTAGAAATTACCAGATCCAAGTTAATACTATTCTGGAAACAAAGACTTTAGAGTAGCAACTTTAGGAGGGATTTTTTGGGGGAAATACCCCATACGAAACATACCACAGGTATAATTACACCGGTTTTCTTCAAGTCCATTAGTTTAATTAGAGTAGGCGTGGTAATTTATTCGCATCGCGGGCGCCATATCCAGAATAAATGTTTAATATGAGGCAAAAAACTTTCGGGTAGATAACAAGATAGCGCTCGAATGAGGGATTGGAGAAAATTAAATGCGAGACTAAACTTTCATGATATTAAAAAAAAAACCGGGTACTTGTCTACTAATTAATTGCGTGGGAGCGTAAAATTCTGTTAGGAAAAAAATGCAAGTAGCAGTGGAGAGGAGGAAATGAAGAATTTAAATAACGAAAGTGATGGAAAAATGGAAAGTTCTCAAGCAGGAGGATCGAGCTAGAAAAACTTGTAGAAAACCTAATTAGAAGATTTAAAAAAAGTTCTAACTAAAGATACTGGAAGAGGACTCAACCAGAGGAAGATCTAAATAGTTCGAGTTAAAGAAGAGTTGAAAGAAAGAATTTTAAATAACGAAAGTGATGGAAAAAGTGGAAGAAGGTTCTCAAGCAGGGGGATCTAGCTAGAAAAACTTGAAGAAAACCTAATTAGAAGATTAAAAAAAAGCGCTAACTAAAGTTAATGGAAGAGGACCCAACCAGAGGAAGATCTAACTAGGTCGAGTTGAAGAAGAGTTGAAAGATAAAAATAATTAAAATAGTTGAATGAGGATCAAACCAAAGATATTAAAAGAGCATCCAACCGTATAATAGAATCTAATTAGAAGAAATGAAAAAAGACCAAACCAAAAAATGATATTAAAAGAAAGACTACTTCTCTATACAGTTCTCTCTACTTTTCTCTATACTTTTCTCTCTACTTTTCTTTTTACTTTTCTCTCTACTTTTCTCTATACAGTTCTCTCTACTGTTCTCTCTACTTTTCTCTCTACTTTTCTCTCTACTTTTCTCTCTACTGTTCTCTCTACTTTTCTCTCTACTTTTCTCTATACAGTTCTCTCTACTGTTGTCTCTACTTTTCTCTCTACTTTTCTCTATACAGTTCTCTCTACTGTTCTCTCTACTTTTCTCTCTACTTTTCTCTATACAGTTCTCTCTACTGTTCTCTCTACTTTTCTCTCTACTTTTCTCTCTACTTTCCTCTCTACTGTTCTCTCTACTTTTCTCTATACAGTTCTCTCTACTGTTCTCTCCACTTTTCTCTCTACTTTTCTTACCACTCTTCTCTCCACTTTTCCAACCAGAGGATTAAACTCCCGCACACTCCTGCACGCTTTCAATCGACCCGATTACCAAGCCACTCGACCATCACCAAACATTCCGAAATGCACCAAACATCCCACGACAAAAATCTCATTTCCTCCATCGGAAACCCAACGCATCGAACATCCCGTCGATCGACAATCACTTAGCCACAACGGCCGAAGGACCCCCGTTTCGATAGACACAAGACGGGCCCGCACAAAGAGGGCCCCGAAAATTACGTTATAATAGCCGGTCGACGGGGGGGCGAGTCGCCCCCGATGGAGCGGCACGTGCCCCATTCACCCCGTGTTTACGTTTCGCATTCGGTACCAGTACATTAGATGCCCGTTAGAGCGTGACCGGGCCCGGTAATGCACCATCGATGCGGATGTTATTAACAAGGGTATATTGGTATTTGATGATTTGTAAATAATATTGAGGATTGGGAGATGGGTTGGTGTGCGGTTTTGTTTTTCTTTCAGTGTTGTTATTAATGTGTGTATGTTTGGATGGTGATAACTGGATTGTAAGAGACCAAAAGGTGTGTGTGTTTTATATGTAATCTTGTTTTGTTTGGATGGGGATTGGATGAATCAATTAAATTGTAAGAGATTATTATTTCTCTTTACTTTTCTATCTACTTTTCTACCTACTTTTTTCTCAACTATTTCCTTAATTTTTGTGCAAACTAATAAAAATCTCTAATCGGTGAATCAACCAATAAAGTTGCTTGAATGGGGATTGGATGAATCAATTAAATTGTAAGAGGTCATTTTTTCTCTCTACTATTCTCTCTAACTTTCTCTCTACTTTTCCCTCTACTTTTCTATCTACTTTTCTCCCTACTTTTTTCTCAACTATTCCCTCAATTTTTATACAAACTAATCAAAATTTCTAATCGGTCAATCAACCAATAAACTTGGCTCCAATATCGCTTTTCTGGTACTTGTTTTGGTAGTTGTATATTGCTTGAATGGGGATTGGATGAATCAATTAAATTGTAAGAAGTCATTTTTTTTCTCTAACTTTCTCTCTACTTTTTCCTATACTTATCTATCTACTTTTCTCTCTACTTTTTTCTCAACTATTCCCCTTAATTTTTGTACAAACTAATAAAAATCTCTAATCGGTGAATCAACCAATAAACTTGTTTCCAATAATCGCTTTTCTGATACTTTTCGAATTCCTTTAGTAACATTTTCAATCTTCTGTTGAACGCATCCCCGACCTAAACAAGTCACTTGTCACTTTCGATACCAACATACGTCATTTTCGCCAGACGACATATGGAATAAAAATTAAGAAATATACGCCAAAACTAATTACCGCCGCGCCAGTTTCGAGATAAATGACACGCAGTCCAATCTAAGCCCTTTAATTTTTTTTTTGTTTTCGTCTAACAGACAGCTGGCGTATCCCGAACGTCAGTTGGTCGATCTTCGTGTTTTTCAACCCCTCACGGCCCTCGAAACCACTGCACCGTATCACTGGCCTATTACCTAGTACATATACAGCGCACGGACGTCGAATGATATACATATAATTAGCTAATTAATACGCCAAGGGACTCACTACGTTGAATATCTCGATTTAACATAACGCAATAACGTTGAAACAACGCTAGTTGTGTTTTAAGTTGGTAACAATGCTACAACGAACCAATCGCGAGCGAGTATTAGGACAGTTCTACCAACTTAGAACCTAAAACTTGTCAGTCACTCGTCAGAAATGTTTACTACTTCTTGTGGAGGCCTATAAGTTGAGATAGAAGAAGATTGATGGGATCTTACCTTGGAAATAGCTTTTGGTGCGTAAGTAGCTGACGGATAGCCTCAATATGGAGAGCCTGTCGAGCTTGGAGAGGATGTTTTGCTCGAATGGTAGAAGACTGGCTAGGTGATCGAGTTCGGCGTTCAATCGTTCCCGGTGCCTCTTCGACGGGTTGCTCTTCGTAACGCCATCTTTCGGTGTGGGCTTCAAACTGAAACGAGTACGCGGTATTTTCATATTGGTCGATGTTACGGTTTGGATTATAGGGACATCAAAAATCGCTTAGAAAGTTTTCGGTGTCGTGACCGAACTAGCACGGGTTTTTTTTTGCGATAGTGGAGTTGTGTCAGGCGAAGGATTGCTCAATGTCCTACAAATCCTTTATAAATACAATTTTTTTTATTAGAAAAAATGTTTTTTTTGAGATGCAAGAAATGGCGAGGGTAGGTAATTCAGCAATTCTAACGTCATCGATGCTTTCGGTATACGTTAAATAAAAATAGGCAATTAGTATAATAGTTTAGTCATTCTAGTATCATGTATGGTCGACTTAAAGCATAATTATCGAGTACTATAATTACTGGTATATCTTATAATAATTATCATTTATCCAGTTTCTCCAATTGAATATTATTAGAAGAAGGAAGAAGAGAAGAAAAAAACAAAACGTTTCGTCGCTTTGTCGGTACACGAAATAGGCCAATAGGTTTCCTTAATGAACATAAATATACCCGTAGCTTATTAAATATTTCATTTGAACGAAAGAGAGTTCTTGGAAGTAGTTAGCGCCTACTGTTAGGCAATTTGTAACGTCCGACGCCGCTAATCCGGCCCCCCGATTGTGGCCTTTTATTGCCGCAAATTGATTGATGAAAAAATGCCCTCGACGCGGCTCGTGACGCGAACTTACCGCTCGCGAATAGCGAGCGTATCGAAAAAAATTCGATGGTTGAAGAATTTAGGGCGACAAATACATTTTTGTTTCCCTCGTAACTTTTGTCGGAGAATTTTTAGGAACGCGAGGTTTGAAGCAGACGATAGAGGAGTTTCTGGAGAATATGTGGAGGAATTTTGAAAAAAATCGTTGGAGCTGTTTTCGAAAAAACCCGGGAAAAATACAATGAATATAGTGTTTCTGATAAAGACATTACAATGTATAATAAATAAATGGTAGGTTAACATAAATAATTTATTGGACTAAATGGCATTTTTATTTCATCACCTAATACTGAATATAATACTATATTAATAGAAACAACAACAAAAACGTAATAATCTCATCAATTATACTTCTAACAAGGTTGAGGACAACAGCAAGGAATGGGAGTTGTATCAGGCTGTAAAGGCACAAAAAAACATTAGACACAAACTCTCCTCCAAGCGAGGAACCACCTCGAATACTTACACCACAACAATACCAAAATAGCAGCTTGGTGATCAGGCTGATGACGATTTCCAGCGACCCCGCCCCGATGCCCAACTGATAGGCGATCTTGTGCAAGTTTTCCTTGCGAGTCATCACCTCCATGACGCCCGATATCAGAGTTACGGCGCCCAGCATGATGTACACGAAGGAGTTGTACACCAGGTTGAAGCAGCCTTGCGGGTGGCAGGACAGCATCAGTTTCAGCAGGTTGAGGTTGGAGATGATGGCGGTGACGGCGGAGGCCGAAGCCAAAATGACCGAGGACATGGTGAAGTTGTCGCAGTTGCCCGAAAAGTGAAGGTAGCCGTACAAACCGGCGGTGACGTGCGATATTGCGTAGATCAGCCAGAATATGATGAAGATTAGGCAGTTGAAGGAATCGAGCGGATTGATCGAGCAACAATCCTTGGGAAAGCAACAATCGGCGCGCGGACAACGGGTACAATTATCGTCGTTGTTCAACATTTCGCATTAAAAATGTTTTTTTTTTTTTGAGTTTTTGTAATATTACTTTCAAACCTGGATTGATGGTTTTCTTCGAGATCTTCTGATATTGCAGTCTAAAATCGCTTGATATTTATCGATTGTTGTCAAATTTTATATTATCTTTCAAATTTTTGTTATTCTCTTTTGATTTACACGTTTGTATTGTCTACTTAAATCCGATGACACATTAAGATGGCAGCATTATCGCGATACAACAATATACAGGTTGCTCCATTTTTCAATTGCAACATGCATGGGTGCAACAAAGAAAACTTCAATTAGACACTTATAAAGGAAAAAGAAAGAGTGACATTTGTGTCATTGCAACTTTTCACTCTGACAACTGTTATCTTATTAATCTTTCTTTGTTCCTCTCATAGAAATGCCCATGTTGCATTGGTGGATTGGTGTTGCATTGGTGGGATCAAAATAAGTTAAAAGAAAATTTTCAAATTTTTCCAATAACTCAAAAGCACTTCATTCGATTTTTCTAATATTTGGTATGGCTATTTTAATCGAAGAGCCATTGTTCAAAGCAAAATTTACACGAAGTAAAAATCCTATAAGGGTAAAAACCACCCCAACTTAAGCGATAATTTGTAAAATACAAATAATACATGCAACAATTAATAAAAAAAAACTTGACCTAAAATACGCAAGTGTGAGTGAATGTGTGTGTGCGAGATAAGTTTTTAACCTTAACGTTAAAAAAATTCTAATCACAGTTATTAAAATCGAATAAAAACTCGCTTTGAAATAAAAATCCGGGCAAACGAAGACTGAAAGGTTGTAATTAAAGTCGGGACGGAATTTCGTTCTCGTTTCATCAGCATGCTTATCAGAATGAAATTCGTTACGAAAACGAGTAGAAAAAAGAATTTATAAGCGGCAGAAAACACCGTTTTAAATAAACGTCTGCGTACAACAACAAAAAAAAATATTACTACACCACAATTAAATATGTTAAATCAAATTAAACGGATTTTAATATAAAAATGTATTATTGTATAGAAATTATTATAGAGTAGATTCGAAGTGGTAGGTGTAAAAATGCTTGTGCTAAACACCGAGTAGATTAGAAGAGAGATTGGATGAAATTTGAATAATCGATGCGAACCGCAATATCGGCCTGATTATAGATCGCGATAGAATTACCATAGGCGTAAGTAAAGTAAGTAGAAGAAGTTATGAATATGATTATTGGAAATTAGCCCGGCATCGGATGCAAATTCCGGGCGCAAAACCGCCGACGGTGCGGGGAAATCGTGACAAAATATTTGCATTCCGTCCCGTAATAAATAAGTAATTACGATTTTCGTTTTTCTCGCGAGATCTTCCATCGGTGATAAGACTCTTCGCATACTCTGCGTATACAGGGTGGCCTAAAACTCACGCCCCACCGGGACATGCTTTATGGAAACGACAATGGAGATGCCAAAACTACAGCCAAAAACATGAAAATGTTATTTCTTTCACCCTGTATACATTCACGTTTTCAATGGCTTCTCGGGGGCGGAAATTTCGCATGTAATTTTCGCGCGGGGCAAATTACAATGGAAAAACTACCCGAATATTTTTATAGCCACTCGCGGGTATCGGTGGATTGTAATTTAATATAAAATCATACGTTCGAGATTAAATGCTGATTGGATCGTTTTGTATCAGAGTGAAGAAGTGTATACGATTATTTTTAACAATGTGGCAACGTCGCGATCCAAAAGTTTTGCACCAACTGTAAGTTTTTGGGCGTGAAGAATTCATAAAAGTGCAGCAGAAATTTACAACAATAACGTTGAAAATTGTAAATAACATAATAGTTGAACAAATATTAAACTGAATTTCTCGTACCCCAAAAATTATATCATCAAAAAAATCATATAATTCTATGTTTATCCATTATGTAAATCCTTCCAATGGTTCCTTTCAAAATCCCCATATACAGCATGTAATAAAAATATCCCAAAATTGATTGTCCACCAATCGAGAAATCGCCCAATTTCCAATCGAATTCGAATCCAATTACCCGAATAACATTGTTTCGACGTCGAAAATTGCAATATTTTGGCTACTGGCTCGATTGGTTCTTAAACGGTCTTCAATCCGTCCACCGATCAAGAGGTTTTCTCACAAAAAAAATCCACAAAACATAACACAACAACGAGGAGAAACACAGTGGAAACGAACCGTATAATTTGTAACGTGTAATTTTTTTACCAGTAACCCAGAAAGGCTTCATTAGAGCCTTTTTTACGGAGAAAGAATAAAAACGCGAGAGGATAGGATAGGAGAAGTAGGTACCGTGAAGTTTACAAACGCTGCTTCTAACCGGTAGTAACTTGTTTCTTCTACTGTTCTTTATTTTTTACCCTTCGTTTTTGGTACAAAAAGTCGGAAGAAATAACTTAAAAATTCGTTTAATCTCTACTAAAAGTTCTAAAAAAAGTTTCTAAAACATTCAGAACAGTTCTAAATGGTTTCGAGATTATCCAGAACTATTTCAACTAGGCGTAGGTGGTTCAAAAATGGTTCTAAATGGTTTTGAACAGTTGGACAGATGTGGACATATGGATGATAACAGGTGCAAAAAATATCGCGTTTTCAAATTCTTCCTGATAGTTTTTGGAATCATTTAGAATTCTTTAGCATCATTTAGAATTGACTTGAACCATTCGAAACAATTCAGGATGATCACAGAACTGTTTAGAGCTGTCCAAATTCATTTATAACGGTTCAAATCAATTTAGAATCGTCCATATTCACGTAGAATTGACTAGGACCATTTGAGAAAATTTTGAACAACTTGGAACCCTTTAGAAGTGTTAAAAGTCATTTACAAATGTCCAGAATCATTTAGAATTGACTGGAACCATTCGAAACACTTCAGTACAACCTTGGAACGAGTCCAAAATAATTTTAAACAGATATAAAAAATGTAAAAAATCATCTAACATTCACCTAAAATCTACAGCTCTACAGCCTTTTGATTGGTCGAAACTCGACAGGGCGACAACTTAGAATAATGACACACGTCAAATCGATTATTATAGGTTATGTAGCGCATTTCGGTAACTTCATAATGAGCGGCGTCCGTTCGAGAAATCGATCCGGATCGTTCGTCGCGATAAAAACCACCGAATTTGGATTTGTGTAATTAGGAAATTCGGAATTTTTTTTCTGGCGCACCTGCTCGAACGAAACGCGTTCGTTATTTTGGCGCAAGTGCACCTGCCAAAAGCCTTTCGCTAAAACCCCCCGCCAATTTACCAATTTGCGACCGTTTAATATCGAATATCACTCGA